GCGACACCCCACATGCACACCCTTTCTACTTATCCATCTGATTACCTAAATCAGCCTTTTTTTTATTAAATAACACTTTCCCAAGTGAATTGCTATTGTTCCTTCTTTAGAATAAAGATAGCCATTGTTTACTGTCCCATTCGAAACCGTCAAATTAAAGACAGCGATCATTCCCAATGGAGAAAATTCATCTTTTGCTGCTTGGCTAAGATAGAAAAATGAACGTTTCTAAATATTGGCATACAGAATATTATTTTCCTAGGACAGAAAAGACAGTGATAAAAAGTCAATATTCCCATCTATTCTGATATAGAAAGCTTTTTCTCCAATTTTACATTCGGAGTAGTGATCCAATACTTTCAACTAAAATGATAGGAAATTTGTTTTTTACATATTAGATTCAATAAGGTAGTTTCTTTTATCTTAAATTAGATTAATAGAAATTTTTGTTCTCTAATATCAGATTCGATAAAACGATCGCTTATCTTCAGATGAATTGACAGAATTTTTTCTCTATTATTAGGTTCGATAAAGCCATAGTTTATCTTAAGTTAAGTTGGTAGCGAAATCTGTTTTTTCTAGTGTTAGATTCAATCAGATAGTTCTTATCTTAGTTGAATTGATAAAGAAATTGTTTTCTCTTACTAAATACATTCAATAAGGTTGTTCTTTTTTTATCTTAAGTTACATTATTAGAAAATTTCTTTTCCAATATCAGGTTCGATAAAATAATCGTTTATCTTAAGTTAAGTTGATAGCGAAATCTTTTTTTCTAATTTAAGATTCCATAAGATAGTTCTTTATCTTAGATCGAATTGATAAAGAAATCTTTTTTTCTAATACGAAATAGATTCAATAGGATAGTTGTTTTTTATCCTCATTTAAATTATTAGAAAATTTCTTTTTCCAATATCAGGTTCGATAAAGTAATCGTTTATCTTAAGTTAAGTTGATAGCAATTTTTTTTCTAATATAAGATTCAATAAGGTAGTTTTTTATCTTGGTTAAATTGATAGAAGTTTTTTCTTAAGTTAGCTGGGATAATATAGTTCTTGGTCATCAGAGAAGTTAATAGAAAAAAATCCTTTTCTTTGTTAACTTTAACAAATTCTTTATCTAAAGTTAAGTTAAAAGAAAAGTTTTTTTTCTAATTGTTACCTTCAATAAGATAGTTCTTTGTCTTAAGTTAAGTTAATCGAAAAGTTTTTTCTAATGTTAGATCCAATAAGGTAGTTTTTTTTATCTTAAGTGAAATTACTAGAAACTTTTTTCTAACATTAAGCTCGCTAAATTCTTTTTCTTAAGGAAATTCGTCGTAAAAGTAATTTTCATCCATAGAGATAGGATAGAGATAGAGGCCTTCTTTCGTTTATATACTCGAATAGAAAAATCGATTTTCGTAGGCACATCAGTAAATAATATAAAGACATATTACTCAACTAACATTGACACAAATCGTCATTTTCATAGCGATCACTTAAATATTCTACCGTCCTTCACATTGATTAGTTCTAATAATAGTTTTTTTTGCTTAGTTGAAGTATATTTATTTATCTTCCATACGTAGTATAAATAAGTTTGAACAATTGATTCTTACACATTTCCTTCAGTACTTCGATATGCGGAATTAGGGCTCATAAAATATGTTGGACGTAAGCTTCGAAGATATTCAGGTGTCTAAGAAGGATTAAGGAGATATTCGAATAGTAAAAATGATTTAGAAAAGCATTTAGTTGATATTTACGTAATTACCAAGAAGGAGTTTAGAGAAGAACTTGAGATATGTTCAGATATCCAGAAAGGAATTAGTGAGAGACTTAGGAGATACTGAGATACTTATAAGAATTAAGAAAGGCTTTACGAGATATTGAAATATCCAGAAAGGATTTAGGGAAGAGTTTAGGACATGCTAAGATGTTCAAAAAGGAGTGAGGGAAGAGTTTAGGAGATTTTGAGATACTCAGAAAGGCTTTTGGAAAGGGTTTAGGACATTCTGAGATACTCGGTAAGGAGTTAGGAATGAATGTAGGAAACGCTTTGATAACAATTATAAGCGTTGCCTAAACCATTTCTGGGTATCTAAAGATCTTCTAAACTCTTTTTTAAAACCTCTTGAGTATCTCAGCGTCTCCTAACTTCTTTTTGGGTATCTTAATATCTCCTAAACCCTTTGAAAGGGTATATTAAAGGGTTTATGAATTTCCTAAACCCTTTATTAAACCCTTAAAAAGGGTTTAGGAAAATTTTACCTACGGTAAAAAGGGTTTATTATACGTTACACTTTCATCAACCATTTTTGGGTTTATTATTCTACGGATTTTTTTTACAGTGTATTTGCAAAAGAAGGCTTTCTCTATTCCTCGTCATATCATCTCATCATGCCGTAGGTATTCTTTCAATATGACATATAATGAATGAAAGGGAAGAGTGAGACCGTCTTTCAAAATTATTTTATTCTTTCTTATTGAGAATCATAGCAACAGACTAAGAAAATGAGGTAAAACAGGAAAGTAAAAAAATGGTGAAACAAACACTTTTCTGTGCGAACGAACGTACAAGCAGCATGTGCTCTTAAGTTTGATAGAGTAAATACACGATTAATATAAAAAGTGACGCATTCTTGCGCAAGAAAATTTCATAATCTTGATGCAAGACTCAGAATCGCTTTAATAAATACAATTTGACGAGAGTAATGTACTTCACAAGTTCTAAGGAACGTTTTTCCGCACAACCAACTTCCAATTTTTCATATTCAAAGAAAAAGTTTGTTCTAGGTAAGATTATACCCATGGAATAAAAAAAATGTCAAAAATGAGGCAAATTTCATCATTTTCATGACAACTTTAGTAGAGAAAAATATTTTAAACCCATCGATGAAATTGGCATGAAAACTATCCCTTGAAAATGCATCAATATCCTCCCATCAAAACAATTAATACTAATCGAACTATTCTACGAGAACTAGGAATACTGGCCTCACACAGGTGTTCTTGCAGAGTTAATTGGAAGTAGCACACGAGCTTCTTGGAAAGTTCGAGCTGAGTGTTCTCTGAGGGAATACGCTTTGAACTTCAGAAGTTCTTGGTTCGGCAAAGTCATATAGACTAGCAACTATTAATTTAAAAATATTTCTTAGATTTAAGCTGAAATAAGTAGCGCAGGACAGGGTATGGGTATAGGTGTGTTTAGTCTTCCAATGCAGACCCACACCCTATGGAGGATAGAAACTGATGTGCTTAAAAATTAGATAACCAACTGAATGTCTCAATAAATATTCGTGTTCATTGCTATCGTATGGCCTGGTTTTGTGATGATTTTGTTGAGATCCATGCTTTTCTCATAGTGAAGGCAATATAATTGAATCGGTTTACATTGAAATAAGACTCTGAAAACGATCTGGTACCCTGGCTCATATGATCTAGCCAATGATTCATCTTTTCATAATAATATAGAAGCTACTTCATGGATGTCTTGTACAAAGCTGATGTACAGGACAAGAAAAATGGCCACACCATGAAGGATAGTTCAATAAGATTTTTTAGAAAAAGCCTATACGAAAATCAATTACATGCTAGAAAATTGACTTAATTGAGACTCATACTCACAAATTCGATGTAGTTACACTGTCATTCTTCACTCTGAGAATCCACATTTCATGTTTTCATTTAGACAATATACAATAGATCATGGCACAGTCCTCACCGCAAAAACATTTCGTCTGTCAGTTCCAAAGTTGCAATAATCGATGTGATGGCAATGACATTACTTATTGTGGTCGTGTTTGTGTTCGTCTTCATTATGGCTATGGTCGTCATTATCAATGTGAAAAGTGCCGCGCTGTTCGTCGCCGTGGTCGTCATCGTATTTACCGGTGCCTAAAATGTAACCATTTATATTGTCATGGATGCTGTTTAATTAAAACTAAATGATAAAAAAATAATAAAGATAATAATTGAAAATATATGAAAAAAATAATTTTTTTTAATGGGAATGTGGGTGTGAATGCGAGGATAGATGCGGTGAGTTCTGCTGCATGAAACATGTACATGAAAAAGTAGAAATTGATTTTATGTCACTCTTGATACACTGAGATAAAACGTACAATCTTGACAAAGTTCTATTCTTCGAAAGATCGCTATCCTTGAAAATTTATGAAAATATCGTAGCAATTTTCAGTAATAATGCTCTATTATATACTAGATACTCGAATCAATACGTTTTTGATATTATATTAGAGATTGTGATCTTCTCGTGCAAGCCAAAACTAAAAATTGAAGTTTTAACGACACCTGAACGGAAGTACGTAATTCTGTTGAAAAATTCAGTAGAAAATCTATTTTTAAGAAATTTTACTAGTAGAAGAGACTAAATAGTCACAGATAAGCAGCATGAAGTGAGAAGCATAATTATAGGCAATATTAAGTTATTTGCTACAGTAATTTTAAGAATTGCTCCGAGTAACCTTTTTCTGCTTACTGTACGGGTGGGTATTGGCCGATTTGGATGCATGTGAGTGTTGACCTGGCTTTTAGTTACAGTGAAGAAAAAACCAGACCTTACACCCTTCTTACTAAAATTTCTAAAAAGTTAGTCGCGTTCTTTGTTTCATAACATTAACAAAGCGTGTGTATGCAAAAACAAACTTGGTTTCCTATGTGAAAAATAAATTGAAATCTTCTTTGTTATTTTCAATATTTAAAAGGTATCTATGTCCTTCATAAATTAAGAGGTTCTCTTATGGTATGTTAAACGACTTTTTTATAAAAAGTTTCTTATGCAACAGAAAAATGAAGAAAAATTCAAAAACAGTTAACCATACAAAAAAAAGTACATATTAAAAAGCTGAACTAAAATAAGAATTAAAAGTAAAGACATTGTTCATATCAAAAACCTATACAATGATTTTATTCGATATCTGCAAGATCAGCATTGCCATCTTCATCTTCTTGTATTTTTGAACGTGTATCGCGACCATTTGCAAGTTAAATTCGTGCCAGATCCTAATCACACTTATCAAAATCTGATTGAAGCCAATCTAAAATTTCTGTTTTAAGTGTAGATATTGTTGTTGATTGATTTTCATTTGAATTTCTTGTCTTATCATCTATTGCTGGTGGCGGCAATGTATCATCTTGATCGTGATCAAAATCTTCATAATGTTGTGCATGAATTTTATAGTGATTTTTCATACGATATGCTGATGGAATGTATTGGTTACATATTTTACATGTACGTCTTTTTAATTCTTTTTTTATTGATGGACAACAATAATCAAATGGTAACATTTCATTCTAAAAAAAGCAGCCGTTTTGTTTTTACTAATATGAAGTGAACAGTGAGGATATCAGTACAGAGTTTGAAATAATTTTCAAGTATGATCTATGAGTTCACATTCTCCCTCTTAGGGGTACACTCGACGAGACATAAATAAGACCATCTATTTCAAATCATACGTGTTACATTTAATCACAAAAAGATTCGATGAACCGTTCAATCTTATTTCTATCATAATTCCTATTCCTTTGTTTATCTATATGATAATGACAATTATTTTTGTTTTACCTGAGTATGCTGAATAACAATACCATGAAATTGAATTCGTTGAAATAACGATCCATAAAATTGTCCTTTTTGATAATCTTTCTCAGCCATTCTAATACCATACATAGTACGTTCAAATGGTACAGGTGATGGTAAAAATCGATGAGGAAATACTTGAACATAATTCGAACGCCATGAACCACAACATTTAATTGAATTACAACGAATAATTTGTAATGTATATTGTGTTTGTACAACATGTATAGAACACCAATATTCATCAATATCATATCTTGGTTGTTCACCTAAATTTTCTCTTTGTGCACGAGCATTTTCTTCATAATATTCATCCGATGCATGAATACGAAATTCATGTCCTTCTTCTGCTTCTTCTTCAGCACAAATTCTATTTTAAAAACAAGAAGAAAACACCGAGTTCAATTAAATAAAGAAAAACAATAGAATAAAATTTACTTTCGTAAAAGTTCATCCATGATAATTTTAGTATCCACTCGTCGCCGTTCATCTTTTGATGTCATTGGTGGATTAATATATTCAGCAAAACATGGAAATCCATCAATAACAGTTTGATTCCATGTTTCAGCTAAGATTTGTCCAGCTTTACGAAAATTTAATTTTTCTAAATCAATATTTATTGTTACACCTGAATCACTTAAATGTGAACCAAAATGATCATATGGTAATGTAAGACCAGCTAGATCATGAGATAATGGTGCCATACGACTTTCAACTATATTATAAGCTGATTGACCAGGACTTAGAAAAAAATATACATATCGTATAGGTTTTTATAATATTAAAATACGAAAAACACTTACGCATGTGTGAGAACAAAAAGTGCATCTAAATTATATTTTTTAAATTTTTTAATACTTGAAACAAGTGTTTTAGGAAAACGTGGATTTTCATCAGGACCACCATCAACCGTAACAATAACAATCGGTTTGACTTGTCCAGTTTCATTACGTGCTACATTTTCAAATTCTTTTAAACAAACAAGACGATCAAAATCTATCGCATGAGATTCAGCAGTTGATAAATCATGTTTAGCTGAACGTATAGCTATATATGTTGGACCTGAATAACTTAAATCTCCATCTTGAGATAAAAGGCATCCAGCATATACACTTGGTATTAATTGATGTCGAGGTGCAACAATCCAATCATGATCTGGTAAACGTATTCGATAATCCAAATGCATTAACATTGATGCTTGAAGTCTAGCTGCAGGTAAACCTAATGGAACTTTACATTTATCATCTTGTGATAAATAAAAAACACAATTATTGCCAAATATTGAAGCTAAATCTTTTATATAACGTATTGTTGCTGTAGCAAAATGGCCATCTTCATGTCTTGCATGATCATCATGTCGAGCACGACGAAGACGTACTGGAGCAGTATTAGTATGACGACGACCATCTTTTGATAATGGACGACGAGGTAACAGACTAAATATTAAAAACAAATTCACATTTAGATCATCAAAACAAATTATTCATTTTATTAAAATAACTGAAGAACGTTTCTTAAAAAATTGTTTTTCATTTTTGGATACACGCATATGAACAATAATATAAAGATTATCTAAATTTATTTTTAATTAGATCGATTTATTATCAGGATCATTTTTTGATCAATATAAGTGAACAAAACGAACACTATCTCGTAAAGAACAACCAGTTTTAAAACAGTATGTAGGAGAAAGATTCAGTCACACCTCGAAACATTTCTTTATGGAACCAGTCACTCATAAGTAAATCATAGCTGCTGTTCGAAGATGATAATAGAGAGAAACTCTGCCTTATATTTCTAAAATGATTCTAGTAGATTGATTACCTAGTTTTAATGCAAATTAAATGACATATATACCGATAGATAAATCGTAGAAAAAATGTTTCACAAACCTATATAAAATCATCATTTATCAATGATGTAGAAAAAACAAAGGTTCTTGTTGAAATATCGCTTGAATACTATTTTAAAAAAAAAGAGATATAAGCATCTAATAAAAATCATTCTCTAAATTACACTAACCTTTGTTTTCTCTGAAATTTATATCTGTCGTAATTATCAATTTTTCAATCACAGTAAATAACTAATTCAAAATCGAAATAGTATGAAAACCATTGTTTTAACAAGAATCTTTTTTTTTCTATATCTTCAATCAATAATTCTTAAATAAGCATGTCAAAGATTTTTTATGGTCTACCTATTGGTATATAATTCATTTAATTCGCATTAAAATTGGATAATTGTAGATTTCACATGTAATACTTAGAAAATTGAAAATTTAATCAAGCCCTAAACTTGTAAACATTTACTAGAATCATTTTCAAATTATAAAACATAGTTTCTATCATTATCTTCGTTACTTCTACATGAAAATTCAGATTGCAAGAAAGTCAAAAATATAATAACAAAAAAAAAACAGATATACTCAATTCGATATATGAGCTAATTCGCTAGTGTAAAAAAAATATGTTTTCATAATAAACAATGGTATCGATTGATCGTAAAATTGATAATACAATTAACAAGAAATCTATTTTTTTTTAATTAAATTTAGTTATTTACCGATCATATAATGTTGATCTTGTAATATCATAACCTCTTTGTTTAAGTTTGTCTCTTAAATCATCTAATGTTAAACAAGGTCGTATAGTTCTCGATCGTCTTCCATCATCGCATGCTCCACCAGCTCTTGCAATTTCTTCAATTGTTTCTAATAAATCAGGATATTTTTCTTCAATTCGTCGTCGCTTACCACCACGACGATAAATTTTTCTTAATTGTGGATGTAGTTCAGGTTTTGTCTCATATAAATGTTGAACCTATAAACAATTAAATGAAAAGAAGAAGAAAAACAAAATTAATTAATACTATTTTTCTTTGTTTCTCTCTATATCTATTTGTAGCTCTTTGACATCCTTGAAGATATCTGATGGCATAAGCTTTTTTTCTTCTATCTTTCAATAATTGTTTTAATTGTTGTCTATTTTCTGCTGTTAATAAACCCATTTGTTTAACTTGTACTAAAGAAACAATTCGTTCATTAATAGCACTTAATTCTTTATAAAGACGTTCTTGTGCAGGTCGTTTTTTTTCTTTTGATAATGGTTCAAATGGAAGATTACTTGTAATTGGTATTTTATCTAGAGATTCAAACAATTCTTCTTCGATTTGTTTACGTTTTTTATGTGTATAATTTCTTTTCTTATTTTCTATCTTATCTTTTGCTTGATCATTATTTTCATTACTATCTTGATTTATTGTTTCATTTGAATCTTCTTTTTTGTTTGCTTTTGTTGGTCGGCCACGTTTTATTCTTGGTGAATCTGAAGAATTCGTTGATGATACATATTCAAAACATTGTTGAGAAGATGCACCAAGTTTATTAAATATTTCTAAATATTCTTCAGTTTTTTCTTTAACATATTCATCATTCCAACTTATTGCATTCCATTCAAGTTGAGCATTATAATGTTTTATCTATTTGAAAAGAAAATTTCATTAAATATTTTTCTAATTAAACAATGAACTTACGTTTCGTTTTTCATTAGGTCGAGCTTTCATATAAGCATCAACAAATGTTGAATACAGACTTGAACTTTTACTTTTTTTATACGGTTTCGTCGTCATGACAAGCTTTTGCCAATCAAATCATACAGGATAAATAAGAACGATTACCATCAATGTATAAAAGACAAAGAGAACGAATAAGACAAAAAATTCTATTAAAAGAACTAAAAGAAATTTTCGTCGACAATTTCTCTCTCTCTCTTTCTTTCTTTCTTTTATAAATAGTAACAGCATACAGTGACCGATTGTCATTTTTTTTTATCGAAACTTTTGACGATAAGTACACAAGGTGTATTTAACTAAACAGAACGCAAAAGAGAATTCAGACGAGGCAGCAGTGAATATCGAATCACAGTGAAAATATGCTACTCATTACCAGTCTTTTTCTTATAGGATCAGCGTAAACATAACTTGAGAAATGTCTAGCTCATACTAGTTGTTAAATCTAGGTGAGTAAAAACAATCTATTTCATATCTTTGGATCGATTATCAAGATGCTGACGTATATTCTATTAGTAGTTCATATAGAAAAAAGAAGAAAAAAAAAAGTAAAGTTAACCTCACAATGCAAATATAATATTATTATCTTTCATTTAAAACAAAACGAGAACCATACTCAAGAGAAAAGATGAAGTCAATTTTTTTTCTGTCTCACCTGTGAATGCATATGTATATCATTCTTTTTCGTCTTGCTTCATTAAAATACAGGTGAGTATCTTTTTTTTGTACATATGACGTGGGCGTGAATGTAATATTGATGTAAAGATATCTCACATCTATATCTTCACCTTCACATTACATGTTTATGAGTAATAATTTTCAATCGAAATTTTTTCTTTCAGCTTTTCACCAGCTTTCATGTCTGTTGAAGGACGCTGCGAAATTGTAGACGTTAAGTGTTGAAATGTTTAGTGTTTAAAACCCTACACATTCCGATAGACTGTCAAGAAAAAAGAATCAAAAATATTTTTCAATTAATAGTCCTTCTTAGAACTTAGAGACTCGAATTCTCTTAAAAAGCAGTCTACAACGATGATGAATCACTTGAAGTTATTCTCTTATAAAACTAAAAAACTTGTACCATTCACTACATGAATTAAATACAAATTTTTTTCAATAGATTTTGTAATGAAAGACGGAAAATATATTGCTCTTTTCAATACGAACTTATTTATATCAGCATATTCATCATATACATGTAAACATCACCAATCTATTGTTCATGTACAAATATATATTAATCAAAACAAAAACAATTAAGATAATATGCAATATTTTTTCTAGTGTTTTCGTCGATGTTTATGATTAATAAGTTAAAGTTGATGAATCTATGTATATAGTTGATATAGTAATAATCAAAGAACAAGAAAAAATCATCAATACTTGATAATATTTCTATTATTTGATTCATCATTAAATACAGTGTTTACAGGAAAACTTTGATATAAATACTAATATTATGTATCAAATTCAAAACATTTTAACCGTAGTGTAAATGAGAATGAGATGATAATATTATTACAGATAAATTAGAATCAATAAAATTTTCGATTTTAAACAAAAAATAATAACCACGGATATGAACCTCAATATTTCGATATCACGGTTTTTAGAATGGTAAAAATGACACACACACTTTGAAAAATACATTTAAAAAAACAGCTGTTTATATACTCTGATCGTTTTTAAAATTTTCTTTCATCTTATCTATTTTTCTCTTTTCTTGCAATTCAAATTCGAATAAATAATATGTGTTTTAGATTTAAATACTTATTTAGAAAATTTTCAAAAATTGTTTTTTTTCTCTCTTATTAGTTTGTTTGTTATTTCAAATTGAACATATAATGGAACAGTTCTATGTTTTTAGATCAAATTACATAAACTAGTAGAGTGTAGTATTCTCGATCGCTGTAAAGTTTTTATTAAACTAAATGGTATTCAAGTTTCAACTCGAACACAAATAATAGCTCTGAATATTTGTCGTGATTCTCTCTAACATTCAGACAGAGATCTAAGTGGTACGATAATTGAAAATATTCCTGAGTCATTTTAAATCAACAAAGAAAACTATTTTTATCAATCAACTGATCTAACTTAAATCAGATATAAAAAGTAGCCATATGATAAAAAAAGAATGGCGCCTAACTTTCCTTTGTCTTATTGTTTTAAGTATCTTGACATAAATAAAGATTAAAATCGTATTAAATTCATTATTTTGGGAAGCTATTTTCTCAT